AAACTAAGTCAAATGTTCACACAAGGTGTGTAGATGCCAGCAATGAATCCCAAGAGATTTCGGCTCACTACAGTCAGGATTCGGGCAGAAAACAAACATTTCAGTTTTTAGCAAAAATGGTCCAATCTGCAAAGTTTTCCATATCCGCGGTCATCAAAAATACTGATTTTGGCCCAAAAAATCCAACTTCACGAAACTAAGTCAAATGTTCACACAAGGTGTGTAGATGCCAGCAATGAATCCCCAAGAGATTTCGGCTCACTACAGTCAGGATTTGGGCAGAAAACAAACATTTCAGTTTTTAGCAAAAATGGTCCAAATCTGCAAAGTTTTCCATATCCGCGGTCATCAAAAATACTGATTTTGGGCCAAAAATCCAACTTCACGAAACTAAGTCAAATGTTCACACAAGGTGTGTAGATGCCAGCAATGAATCCCAAGAGATTTCGGCTCACTACAGTCAGGATTCGGGCAGAAAACAAACATTTCAGTTTTTAGCAAAAATGGTCCAAATCTGCAAAGTTTTCCATATCCGCGGTCATCAAAAATACTGATTTTGGCCAAAAAAATCCAACTTCACGAAACTAAGTCAAATGTTCACACAAGGTGTGTAGATGCCAGCAATGAATCCCCAAGAGATTTCGGCTCACTACAGTCAGGATTCGGGCAGAAAACAAACATTTCAGTTTTTTAGCAAAAATGGTCCAAATCTGCAAAGTTTTCCATATCCCGCGGTCATCAAAAAATACTGATTTTGGGCCAAAAAATCCAACTTCACGAAACTAAGTCAAATGTTCACACAAGGTGTGTAGATGCCAGCAATGAATCCCCAAGAGATTTCGGCTCACTACAGTCAGGATTCGGGCAGAAAACAAACATTTCAGTTTTTTAGCAAAAATGGTCCAAATCTGCAAAGTTTTCCATATCCGCGGTCATCAAAAATACTGATTTTGGGCCAAAAAATCCAACTTCACGAAACTAAGTCAAATGTTCACACAAGGTGTGTAGATGCCAGCAATGAATCCCCAAGAGATTTCGGCTCACTACAGTCAGGATTCGGGCAGAAAACAAACATTTCAGTTTTTAGCAAAAATGGTCCAAATCTGCAAAGTTTTCCATATCCGCGGTCATCAAAAATACTGATTTTGGGCCAAAAAATCCAACTTCACGAAACTAAGTCAAATGTTCACACAAGGGTGTAGATGCCAGCAATGAATCCCCAAGAGATTTCGGCTCACTACAGTCAGGATTCGGGCAGAAAACAAACATTTCAGTTTTTTAGCAAAAATGGTCCAAATCTGCAAAGTTTTCCATATCCGCGGTCATCAAAAATACTGATTTTGGGCCAAAAAATCCAACTTCACGAAACTAAGTCAAATGTTCACACAAGGTGTGTAGATGCCAGCAATGAATCCCCAAGAGATTTCGGCTCACTACAGTCAGGATTCGGGCAGAAAACAAACATTTCAGTTTTTTAGCAAAAATGGTCCAAATCTGCAAAGTTTTCCATATCCGCGGTCATCAAAAATACTGATTTTTGGCCAAAAAATCCAACTTCACGAAACTAAGTCAAATGTTCACACAAGGTGTGTAGATGCCAGCAATGAATCCCCAAGAGATTTCGGCTCACTACAGTCAGGATTCGGGCAGAAAACAAACATTTCAGTTTTTTAGCAAAAATGGTCCAAATCTGCAAAGTTTTCCATATCCGCGGTCATCAAAAATACTGATTTTGGGCCAAAAAATCCAACTTCACAAAACTAAGTCAAATGTTCACACAAGGTGTGTAGATGCCAGCAATGAATCCCCAAGAGATTTCGGCTCACTACAGTCAGGATTCGGGCAGAAAACAAACATTTCAGTTTTTAGCAAAAATGGTCCAAATCTGCAAAGTTTTCCATATCCGCGGTCATCAAAAATACTGATTTTGGGCCAAAAAATCCAACTTCACGAAACTAAGTCAAATGTTCACACAAGGTGTGTAGATGCCAGCAATGAATCCCCAAGAGATTTCGGCTCACTACAGTCAGGATTCGGGCAGAAAACAAACATTTCAGTTTTTTAGCAAAAATGGTCCAAATCTGCAAAGTTTTCCATATCCGCGGTCATCAAAAATACTGATTTTGGGCCAAAAAATCCAACTTCACGAAACTAAGTCAAATGTTCACACAAGGTGTGTAGATGCCAGCAATGAATCCCCAAGAGATTTCGGCTCACTACAGTCAGGATTCGGGCAGAAAACAAACATTTCAGTTTTTAGCAAAAATGGTCCAAATCTGCAAAGTTTTCCATATCCGCGGTCATCAAAAATACTGATTTTGGGCCAAAAAATCCAACTTCACGAAACTAAGTCAAATGTTCACACAAGGTGTGTAGATGCCAGCAATGAATCCCCAAGAGATTTCGGCTCACTACAGTCAGGATTCGGGCAGAAAACAAACATTTCAGTTTTTAGCAAAAATGGTCCAAATCTGCAAAGTTTTCCATATCCGCGGTCATCAAAAATACTGATTTGGGCCAAAAAATCCAACTTCACGAAACTAAGTCAAATGTTCACACAAGGTGTGTAGATGCCAGCAATGAATCCCCAAGAGATTTCGGCTCACTACAGTCAGGATTCGGGCAGAAAACAAACATTTCAGTTTTTAGCAAAAATGGTCCAAATCTGCAAAGTTTTCCATATCCGCGGTCATCAAAAATACTGATTTTGGGCCAAAAAATCCAACTTCACGAAACTAAGTCAAATGTTCACACAAGGTGTGTAGATGCCAGCAATGAATCCCAAGAGATTTCGGCTCACTACAGTCAGGATTCGGGCAGAAAACAAACATTTCAGTTTTTTAGCAAAAATGGTCCAAATCTGCAAAGTTTTCCATATCCGCGGTCATAAAAATACTGATTTTGGGCCAAAAAATCCAACTTCACGAAACTAAGTCAAATGTTCACACAAGGTGTGTAGATGCCAGCAATGAATCCCCAAGAGATTTCGGCTCACTACAGTCAGGATTCGGGCAGAAAACAAACATTTCAGTTTTTAGCAAAAATGGTCCAAATCTGCAAAGTTTTCCATATCCGCGGTCATCAAAAAATACTGATTTTGGGCCAAAAAATCCAACTTCACGAAACTAAGTCAAATGTTCACACAAGGTGTGTAGATGCCAGCAATGAATCCCCAAGAGATTTCGGCTCACTACAGTCAGGATTCGGGCAGAAAACAAACATTTCAGTTTTTAGCAAAAATGGTCCAAATCTGCAAAGTTTTCCATATCCGCGGTCATCAAAAATACTGATTTTGGGCCAAAAAATCCAACTTCACGAAACTAAGTCAAATGTTCACACAAGGTGTGTAGATGCCAGCAATGAATCCCCAAGAGATTTCGGCTCACTACAGTCAGGATTCGGGCAGAAAACAAACATTTCAGTTTTTAGCAAAAATGGTCCAAATCTGCAAAGTTTCCATATCCGCGGTCATCAAAAATACTGATTTTGGGCCAAAAAATCCAACTTCACGAAACTAAGTCAAATGTTCACACAAGGTGTGTAGATGCCAGCAATGAATCCCCAAGAGATTTCGGCTCACTACAGTCAGGATTCGGGCAGAAAACAAACATTTCAGTTTTAGCAAAAATGGTCCAAATCTGCAAAGTTTTCCATATCCGCGGTCATCAAAAATACTGATTTGGGCCAAAAAATCCAACTTCACGAAACTAAGTCAAATGTTCACACAAGGTGTGTAGATGCCAGCAATGAATC